ATAAAGAACTGTCTTCGATATTTAGAATAGAAAATCAAATATTGTTTTCAAAATTGTTACTTGACCTTCGATATCAGTTTTACAGATACAGGAAGAAATTACCTTCTATACATATACTTCAATTCCTATTAACCTCATTTGACCGCTTGGGCCTCAAAAAAGTAATTACGTAGAGAGAGGGAAACTTATAATTATTAAGATTATAAAACAAAGTCTAAGCAATGTTTTATAAAAAGTAAATTAAAAAAGAAAATCTTTATTATCTCGCTTAAAAGTTCAATATTATTTTATATTACTTGAGCTGCCTCAAGTTGCTTTTTATTTTCTTGTTCTACGTTCTTTGTCTTTTTAACTTTTATATTAGATTTTATTTAATGTATAGATTAAAGTCTACGGTCGGGATGTTGTTTGTTGATGTTCTTACAAGATATATATACGTTAGGAATTATTCATCATATTATACATGGTAGATACTATGGAATTATTTACATTAATATAAATCAAAACTTATGAATTACAAATAAGAACGAAACTACTTTTTATTTTATAATAAAATTTATACAACAGATTCCTATCTTTATTCAAATAGCTTCATAGTTAGAGATAATACAAACTATAAGTCAAACACATTATCGTTATTTAAATTAAATTTAATCTGTAGTCTGGTATTATAAACAATGTTTAGTCTGTGCGTCGTGTATACAAAAATGAAAATAAAAAGCGACTAAAAATTGTAGAACCGGTCCGTGGCATCGTGGCTCAGAGATCGTCGGTGTAGTGACCTCGGTTGGCCTTGACAGCTGCGCTCCGGCCAGCGCTCGATTCAACCACTAATAACCACAACCAACATTATAAACCATAAGTTGCATGTTATTGTATATACTACGAACGCTGACAACTCGTCAAAACATGATTTGTTATAACATATTTGTCTTATAACATATGAATACAGTGCATTACTTATCAGAGCTTTTATGCTTTTGCTATCTAACTCTTCCTGTTGCGCGACGTCGTATAGGTGATAAATTACGTCGACCCACATTTAAAGGCTTATCTTTTTAAAAGCAATGATGTGGAAATAAAAGTATTTATAAATATAATGTTTTATTTTATTGTTCATTTGTGTTAGTTTTTAATGGGAAAAAATACTGTTGATATATTTATGTTATTGACTGAAATAGTTCGCTTATATGACGGCGGCAGGACAATGGGCATTCCGCAGGGCGCAGTCTGAGAGACTGAGTCAGTTTAATATTATAGAATTATATGAAATCAATAAGATCAAATAATTAATGTTCGAAGAGAAGTTATTATAATACAAATTAAAAATTAAATTAGGTCTTACGTTGCAACCAATTACGTATTATTGGGCCGTTCGATAATATGTAAATTGGAAAAATCTATTTATGTAAGACCTTAATAAGTTTACAGATTCATTTCATTAATAATAATTATTAAAAGGCAATGTTTTTTAAACTGTTATTTTATATCACCGTGAATCATCGGTATAACAATATGACGCGCAATAATATTCTTCTATCAGATATTAAAAGAAATACAAGAGAGCACAATGCTGTGATATTATCAGCACAGGGATAACGAGATTTTAAATAAAACCAGACACATTGATGTTTCGATTATTAAGTTATATTTATTGGGACAGCAAATATATTAATAATTTACTACTAGTACCTATAGTTTATAGATTGCTTGGACATTTAAGTTTTAAGCGTCATGATTCATATACATAGAATAAGTTCTGTCATTTAAAATACTCCCTTCAATTGTTTGTTGTCATAGAAATATGTATATTATATGAATGTAATAACTTCTTTACTGTAACTGAGATTATATATTCCTGAAACATAATTTAAAACATTAAGTATAGATATTTTTGACTACTATAAATAATAATTTAGTATTGTGTATGAGAATAATCTTTAACAAATATTATATGTATTTAGACTTATTATATATTTTATTTACCTGACACATTTGATTTAAATTTTTTAATTAAAATAGTTATTTGAAATAAAAAAATCATAACAATATGTAATTAAGATGTTAAATTTAAACACAGACTGAATTATAATAATTAAAAATATTCCAAATATAATTATAAGGTATAAGTCAGCTATAATTTAAAACATTATTCCCTAAATTATTACATATTAAATAAAAAAAAAATAACTTGGTTATCTTACGAAATAACCAGTTCCGAATCATAAAGCTTACATTGTGAGTTTGTTCAAACTAAACCGGTTACAAGTTACAAAGAAATTGTTAACTGTACTTAACGACTTGGAAACCAAAAACAAATATTACAAAATATAAGACACTAGATGTCAATTACATTATGTTAATGATTTACTGAAAGAAAGATGTTGACAAATCATTAAGATTACATGAAAAATTTTAAATATACAAAATTCTTGAAACGTATTAAATTTTCGGTCGTTTAATACCTGCTTAATTAAATACTTTATATTATTTAAATCAAAAAACCTTATTTCGTTCATATGAAGTGTCTGAAATTATATAAAATATAATTACTATAAAATATTAGACCAGTCACGATAATAAGGTAAATAAAATTAACTTTTATAAGAACAAGTAGCAATTCCGAAGTGTTTTTAGATGAAAAATTTCTTGTTTTCTTTTCATCGAGCCTCTAATCTTACAGTGAAGCTATAATTGTCTATTTCAAATTCAAAGCATTTATTTTGACATTTTTAAAAGTACTTTTTACTGCTTACGCTAAATAATAAGAACAACTCATAACTCGTTATGATTTTGTACTATTTTTCTTAAGAACAAACTGAAATTGTTTGTATTGTAAAAATAAACTGGAATTACATTAATGTTTTACTATAAGAATGCCTAAAATGGTTTCATAAGAAAAGTTATTTTAATAAAAAAACATAATTTAGAAAAGTTACAAATTATGCCAAACATCTTTCATTTACATTAAAAAATGTAGAAAGTAATCCAATGAATTCTATGTCATTCTAAATTACTTTTTAATGATATTTTTTGTGTACAATGATTTCATTACATATTATAACTATTCATATTAAATTTGAATTTGTAAACTGTATCACAATAAGTTCGAGTCCTAGACTCAAACTAATAGTCTCTTCATAATTGATGTTCATTTAAGTACTTGGAGGTCGATAGCATTATAAATAATAATTTCGATTATCCCTATATTATAATGGATAATATTTATGTATCGATATGTATGTAATAACGCGGAGTAGTGATTTACTACAGGTTTTGCCCGCGCGGATCTATATTTCTTGGTTCGCATCGAGAGAAGACGTTATGACTAAAACTCAAATCCGTAGAGAGGATGTTGGAGACGAAATTTTATTTTTCTATGATATAAAAATATATATTCAAAAATAAAATATAGCCCGTATAATATTATTTATATATGTGAGTGAAATTGATTTTTTACTCTCGCCATATGTTTTTAGATAAGCTTGTTTAATTGTCAAATTTATATAGCAATCGGTTTGTTCATTACGACCATAATTTCTAAATTTAACTGTCTATTAATTTACATTTAATTTATATTTTATTGATTGTAACAGATCGTTCATTGTGAAGCAACTATAGTGGAATAATTATTTCAAGCGAACTATTAAAATATTAATATTTCATGAAACTCGACGTCTTTTTTGTTCAGTCGACAAAAGTAGGTTTACCCACACTAGGGAAAATCCAATTCGCTGTGTCGTCCACACGCTCGCACACAGGGGCGCATGACTTGAGGGAAAAATAAAATTTCTCGCTAAGTTTATAATGGGAAAACTTTGAGAACCACTTAATTATGTTAATGTTTGAAACAAAATTTTAGAAGAGACGTTTAAACACGGCAATGATATAATTTAAAAAATATATATCTCAATATGAATTCGTAGTATTACCTACCTGTTTACCAGAAAAAAATTCTTAATTACATTTCAAATTGATATTATCTACGGAGTCGTAATTTTACTGAGTAAGATTTTTATATATACGAGCTTCTTAATTAAAATTTTATTAATTCAATACGATCACAACACCATGATATTTTTAATAAAAGATAAATTAAGTTTCTAAATTAACAAATCCGCGGTGATAATCCAACTAGAAAATGAATTTAAAATCAAAGTCGTGCAAGGACGGATCCAATTGCATCGGTAAATTAAATTTCGTAAATTAATACTAGGAACTAATTAAAGTTTCGTCGATGTTTGTGAAGCCGCATACTATTAGTTTTAATAGCACGCTCAACCTACCTTCTTTAGGGTATGAATCGATATAATTTTATAAATCTGTCACGTTTCTTATCGCGAGTAAACATTGGCAAAGGGCTTAATGTGAAGGGGATCTTTTAAAGCTTAAATAAAGCAAGACTTATTTCAGATGTAATATTTTATTACACGTTTTTTGTGATAATAAAAATCGCTCAAGATCTCGCGTTCAATGTTCGAATGGCACATGCTTTTAACTCGATATATTCTGTCTGGGGCTGGGATCTACTTCATAAATGTTTTAGTATGGAGCTCTTTTTTTAATAACTATATTACTTGTAGTAATTACTTTTTTTATTCATATTAGGACAAAATGTTATGATACGTATCAAGTACTCTTTAACATTAAATGTACAAAAATCACGATTCTCCGGCAACCATTTAATGTAAAGACTGAAATAAGCAAACGGAAATGAAACAAACAATTTAGCAAGAAGCAAGTTGAAGTCATTAAATTATGTTCCAATTCTGTACCAAAATAATATTATAAGTAACAATAAATACGATTTATGGTCTATAAAAAGTAAGTAGATCGCACGAAATTCAATTCCCTTAAATAGTTAGAGTCGATGTTATTTCTTATATAAGACGTCGAGGGCAACAGTCGAGATGCGTTCCGTTTTCCGCCAAATGAATATATAAAAAGAAAAAAATATATAAATCATAAAACATTACCTCATTTTCATTTTAATGAAAATATCATTTCCTTCCAAGGAGGTATATCCAAACTTTACATTCGTCATTTTGCATGGGCCAACGGTCGAGTGGTAGGGGTGCAGGGGGTGCTGGGGTTTGTCGGGTGGAGCGGCGCCACCCCGCGAGCCGCGAGCCCCCCTCCTCCACGCGGGATCGATACGTCATTTGAGCTGGTCGCCATGGAGACCGCGAACGGAGCGGGGCGGCGCCGCAGCCTCGCTCGGGACGCGGATGATGCAAGGCGCTCGCGAACCGCGAACCACGATCGTGGACCCGATGCCTTACATGCCGCCTTACATGATGTATCACAACTAACACTTCCTCAACGACGCAGCAATAAACGACCAATAGTTAAATCATATAAAATATATACAATACTTCAAAAGCTTTAAATTGAAGTTTAAATATTATGTAACATAATATATCCTCCCCGAACCTTGTATATCAAGTCGATTGAAAATTATATGATGTAATATAGAAATATATTTTCTAATATGAAATTCAAAAGTCTTATGAATAATAAAAGCTAAACTATAAAATCTGCTACAATCACATCCATTTATATTTTGTAATCTATTTTTTACGACTCGTACAGAAAAAGAAACATCTGGTTCGTTGCTTTCACTAAGTCTATAAATGTTTTAAACTATTTTTGTAAACTTATATAACATTGAATAGGTTCGGAGTTATTTCAATTATTTTCAATCATATTTTTAATTAGTTACACAGGGATATATACTTTTACGTTTTATGAAAAGAAGATATTAAATATACACATACTATCAGACTTATCTTAATGCTCAAAACATTTCATTTTTCAAATGTAAAAGATAAAAGTATTTATAATAAAATGTGGGATTAAAGTGACTATTAATTTTCCTTGAATATTTTTATATCCTTATTGAAATCGTTTAGAGTAATCCTAATAGAATAATAAGTAGACTGTCAACTATAAATATTAACGTCTTTGGATCTATTATTGTTTCATTTAATATTCATTATGTCTACAAAATAGCCTAAACTGACGAGGAGCTGGAAGGAAAATGCAATTTCCTTGTAGCAATAGCTTAACAATTCAATTGATTTGCCAGCAAAAGCACAAACATTGCCGGTTATTGCAAAATGTTAACTTTGATATGATAAAATAAAAATAGACAGACAACATTTCAAATATGAAATATATTATGGATACTACATATTTTTATGGAATATATTATATTAAATTTATATAATACATTTTGTATATAAATTTAATAGGGTATATTAAGTTTATGTATACTTTTATACCATTTCATACAAAACAACTTTTGTGCTTAGTATGATACATATGAACAAACATTTACAGTAACATCTGTATACATTGTTGCAATTTAAATCGTACTAGATAATTTTAAATGGACTCAGATTATCTTATAATTGGTTTATTCAGATTAATGCCAACAAAGACTTCGTTGCATTGACCTTTTATATCAACATTCATCCTATTTTTATTATTTACCTTTCACGTGTCAATGGTAATTAAGCAAAAATAACTAAATCTACTAATTATTTTATTAAAATATAACCGATAAATAAATGAACTTTCCAATTTGTGTATTTGCCTATACAAACAAGAAAGTTAGCGAACAATATAAAAGAAATGTAATAGAGCGAAATGCCCGATAGAGTAAACATTGGTGGGAGTGAGACGAAGTTATTCAAATTGAGGGTACATAGGTAACAAATAGCTTGTTAAGAATGTATGGATACGTCATAATTTAATAATTTAAACTCTTTTACTCTATATTCAGTTACACTTACATTACATTTATATTGTAGTGTTTTTTCTTTGTAAAGTTCGTAATGACAGTCGTATAGCATGTTTAAAGTGTATTAAATAAAACGCCATATTTTTTAAATGCTTGGATTATTTTAAAAACGTTTAAGTTCATATATATTGTATATGTACGTGTATTTCGTCACGTCAATCTATTTCATTGATCATAGTTTCGCACCAATGAGTAATCATTCAATCACTCAGAATATATAAAGGTGAACAGACCTACATATTATGTAAGTTTTTTTCATCAGCGACATTTGTCTCGCTTGGAACATTCAAAGAGGTATTCAATAATCGAAGTTCCAAGTTTTATTACGTTTAAGAAATGGTATTTCCATGTTATGATTGTTGAATAAAAATAAGAAAAGTTGAGGAGAGTTGCAGGAGCAACTCCAAGAACAGGTATTTTCAATGTTTGAATATGTAGGTTGAGGAGGTAGTTTTAGATTATTTTGTTTAGATCGTGAAAATAAATACAATTAGCGTCAAGACAAAAGATCATCAAATTGAATACCAATCTTATAATCGATTGAACTAAATTTAATATAATTTTATTCGAAACAAATCTTTATCTTTATTACGTCATTCATTTCACATATCTATATCCTTTCATATCGTTTGTAATAAATTCCTTCAAACAAGAAATTATGTTATTATATAGGGATCAGTATTACTTTAGAATTCTTCGCGTTTCTACATTCTTAAAATATTTTCTCTATGAAGGTAATTTAAGAAACTCTGATATAAAGAAGAAAGATAATCAAGAATATTTATAAAAAATTATTAAATGTTATTTTGAGAGGTTGTAAGAAAGTAATGTGAAAAGTATATTTTGAAAAAAAAAAATGTTCTAAAAGTATATGAACTTATTCAAATATGTAATTTTTATTTTAATAAATTAATATAACACGAATTCATTTAATATTCATAGCGAACTGAATAAGTAATAGTAATTAAAAATGTAACTTACTCGAGCTTCAAGCGCCATCTTCAGTTTAATATGTACAACATTTTAAAAGCTCTGGATCTGAGTGCTTTTGTAACTCTCTGTGTTGTTCATAGAGGGCAACATAGTGAAAGCTTTCAGACTCTACATTTAAAGTAATAAAAAATACTACGAATAACTGTCAATTCTATTGTATTCATTTTATTTTTCTATAAAATTGTTTCTGTAGTTTCTGATATTAATGGTTACTTTGTGAGCTTGAATATTTTTATTGTTTTGTCCGCTTCCTAGCTCTAATTCAACTTAGGTTAAAATTTTGATTGAGACTATATAATGTACATAATTTAATTCATATGCCGCTCTGGTAGAAGTAAATTTCGTATTTTTAAAGCCCTTAAAAATAAGGACATAATTTTGAAACGAACTTTTCTAAAACTTGAGTATTTGTTTATGACACAATGTTTTTTAAATGTGAGTTATTAGAAAACTTGAAGTCAATTAATGCTTGGTGTTTTCGAAGAAAAATCGAAAACGAGAAGCAAAAAAAGTTACCGACATACCCCTGACAGTTAAATCAGATCTCAAATCAAGTTAGAGCGAGCTACAAACATAAACATATGGCAACAAATGGACGGGTACTGGAGCGTGAAAACCCTCAAATGTTAATCGCCTACTTATAATCGCAATGTAGATGAAGTAGCAGTCGTAGTAGATGTAGATGGAAAAATGCCATGGTGAGGTAGGATCTTGGTGGATTCAGCACGTTATCGTACCACTGGCTGAGAGAAGGAGTTTTAGTAGTGGGTGATACTGTACTTCAAATTTACTACCTAAGTTATAGTCTAGTCAACAAGTTCAAAAACGTGTTAAGTAGAAATAAGCTCTTAAAAATATGTGCGAAAACTCATTCGATTCGGAATAACGTCTAGAAAATTGGTTTTTTAAGAGTTTATTTTCACATATGAATTTGCGATTGTTATGAACAAAATAAGATCAAAAAAAAGGTATTTAGTTTTTCGTTAATAACTTTTAAACTAATAATATTTAAGGATTTAAAAAAAAAAAAAAATTGGAAATTTCCTCCTCTTTCCGGATATAGGATAATATATAAGTCCTAACTCCCGGAGTTCTATCTATATTTTCATTTAATGTCTAACTTTAAAAAAATCTAAACTTTTTAATATACGTTTGTTTTTGTTATTTTACGATATTTTCAAAAAAAAGATAAAGGTAAATATTATTTGACCAGACCATTATTAAAAATTTATTTTTCTAAAGATCCACTGCTAAATTATTTAATAGGTATTGTTGAATTATTAAAAATTCATATAATTAGGATATGAATTTGAGCCGTGATTACGTCTGCGTGATATAAGCATTTGACAAATGATATTTCTTGAATTGCGTGAATAAAAACCTTCTGGCAAATGATTTTCTTAGTTTAACTAAACTTAGAATTAAAAGAGTAGAAGTATTACCACTTGTTCAATAGAAATGTAACCACTAATTCATCAGAAATAATATAATACAAATCTAATCTCTGTCTTCTGTCTGTCTTCTCTGTCTTCTCTGGCTGCTGTCTTCGTTATACTTTTTCAATATTCATCAGCTTTATTACTAAATATAACTTCTTTTTCTACGATATGTATGCACATGGTATTTAAATTTATCACCATTTGTATTTTGTTAATCTAGCCTTGGTATTTTTATTCTATAATTAATTATTCTGACTAAGTCTTACAAATTTGCTAAATATATCATATGATTCATAGGTTCATATTTAGCTTTTGTGAAAATTACCACATCTCTGAATATCGTAATAAGAACAGGGTGTCGGGTTGGAAAATCCTTCATGGAGCCCCGCCGCCCTCGGGGAAGGACGGAGGGGACTGTCAGACTCCTACTGACTAAAAACCAACCCGTGTGCAAAACCAACCCGTGTGCAAATGTCCATTTAATTGTTATGTTGTGGTAATTATAGTTAAACACTACGAAAGACCGATATCTTAGTGCATATCATTTACCGGTAGCTATTAATAAAAAAAGAAATCTCCAATTAAAATCGTTATTACAGCTAAACGGATGATTAAAATGAGCAATAATAATTGTTCACACAAAAAGGCTTGTCTTAAAAGAATAGAAATAAATTAAAAAAAAGCATTAATATATTTTTAAAACGAAAAGTTCGAAAAAAAAAACCAATAAAGTTCCAATTAAAAATAAATCAGCCGTGTAGTGTAATTACGGGAATTTATCAATGGAGTATGAACGCGTAAGTGGTGAGGTGTCGTCACCGTCCGTGGGCAAGCGGCGAGCGGCGACCACGTGGCCGGGGCACGGGACACACTTGCGAATCCGCGAGGGAGCACCCGCCGGAAACCGAGGTGTACCGGGGCTCCTCGAGTCATAAGAACAGGGGCTCTCATAGTTAATGACCAGGATTAACCAACTCTTTCTCTTTTGTACATGATATTGTTTGATTCTAATTTACCCATATATGTATTTTCAGGGTACGTTTAATCTTTTGTGTTTGCAAGATTACTTCATCTTTATTCGCTTAAATATATGACATAAAAATTAAAAACATTATTATCCATTTCATAATTTTTAATTAAAAAACGCTTAGGTTCGTCTTAAAATATTAAATATTTGACGATTTGTAAGGTCTATGTTCAGCAGAGGGCAAATGGCGTCATATGATGATTGAATGACTGTTAAAAAGATTATTTACTATCAAGACCTTGCTTGAAACTTTTTTTTAACTCCAGTAATAAATATATACACATTTATATATTTTTTACAGTGAATATTAATATTATATAGTTAGTTTAATGTTAAATTAAATTATTAAATTATGGTAAACTGGAGTTTTGGGTTTGTCTTTTCTATTATAGTATTTTTAAAAGGACGTCAAATGGAGTTACAGTTACCTAAAAGGGGTTAATAAATTATTGTGTATTATTAGTAACACATAAAATGAATAAAAAAACTAAAATCGACTTGAAATATTTTATTTAAAACTTGTTTGCATAAGTTTACAGCAGTTAGATCCTAACTTTTCATGATCGGTAAAATGTTAAAATAATATAATTGACACTTTATTTATTATTGAATTGCAATAAACCATGGACTACTTTTGGAACAATACATTTTATCACCAGTTTAAACAAATATGTATTACTATTGCTATAAACTTTAAAATAAATAAGGAGATATAACTACAACCTCATTATACAGAAAGAGGATGGTACGAATTAATGCAATCGCCTATTAACTGTCTCGAGTATGGCGATTACAACAGTCTAGAAACTTTCGTACACGCCTCGATCTGGGATTCAAATATTCAATATAATCTACCAGCACTTTTATATCAAAAATTACAAAAGATCCTACAATATGCCTTTTAGTAAAGCTACATTGTAAATTATTTTCCAAAATGATTTTTCTTTCGGCCACTTGTTCATAAGTGCTAGTATATCAAAACACGAATTAAAGAAAACAAGGATATGCACTGTCGTTTTCCGTAATAAGTGTTGTGCGAAAAGTATCGGCCATGTTTAAATTGACACTTTAGCAAATACTTTCCATAATCATTGTAAAGGGGCCTTCGTTTTACTCCTAAATTATAATAGTCACTGGTCTCGAAACATGGCTTAAGTACTATACACCTAAAATATATAAATTATTACAAATTAAGTAAGGCATTTACAAAATCTGGGCTTCTTAACATACTTAAAATTTACACGATACTAGATTGTATATTATGTAACATCGTGTAAAAATCAAGAATTGACTAAACTTATATCGGTAAAACAATTTTTGTTTTTAATATGTAAAAATGGTCAAGATTTCGGCGATCATAACTGACCCACGAAGCTCTAACGTCATTAAGAGAATTCAAAGAGAAATTTTCATAGCTTCGTCAAGGCCAGACACATAATTTATGAGTACCCATTTATTAGGGACATAGTTGTAACTTAGCTCTACCGTTTGGCACTGACTTTTGTAAAAATATTAATAATAAATAAACTTTTAAAATGACTTGTTAATAAAAATGATATTTTTTGAAATAATTATATATAACATTTTAATCACAGTCATGGTTGATTCATTGAAAAAGTTTGGAGTGTGCGTGCCACGACACTATGAAAATTATAATAATATTAATAGCGATTACTACATATGACACGAAATCTTAATCTAATTCATCGCGAAATTTGAGCATTATTCTTGTGCATAAACGATTTCATGAAATTATTATCCTATAGATGTATTGTTGTGATAACAAACTTCATGATGTTACGTAAACTTCCGTGCCTTTTCACCTCCGCCTTTTAGCAGATACGGCTGCAGCAATCATTTGTCTTAACATTGGTTCAGGAGTGCAAGCTTTAGGGTCACATTTCATTTGGCCGTCTCCACCGCATCTGGTAAAAAAAATCAAGTTAGTGAAAAGTGTTAACGATTTATAAATAATAACATATAACTTAGATAATGTAAGTTATATTTATATCAATTAGTAGTGTTGATAACTAAATACCAATTAATTAATGTTTACACTTACGTGCAATGTAAACAAGGGCCTGACGATGCGCGGACGACTTCTCCTACTTTGTAACTGTGGCCTTTAATTTGACATCCTCTTCTTTGAGCTGCTCCTTTATAGGCATGAGGAAGGAAATGTGGAGGTAATGTTGTAGTCGTTGTAGTAGTAGTTGTTGTTACGTTCACTGTAGTTGCCATCGATACAGGACATTCGTAGCGCGGACAACAGAAACCTTGTATTGGTTCTTCATGACAACCATGTATAGGAGGAGGACAGCTTTGTTGAAGACAAATGATATCGCTTCTAAAGCAAAAGCAGAAATCACATGGATCATCTCTTGGGATTTGCTGTGCTGATACATATACTTTTCCACCGTATCGACAAGTGCCAGGGCCAAACGCTGGATCTTCTTCAACGTAGTCTGGTTCCGTACCGTAACCACCTGGTCCACTTGGAGGTAATTCAGGGGAATGTTCTTCATGAGATTCATCAATTATTTCGGGCATTTCTGAAGAACTTGGAATAGGTGATGGGCTGAAAGGCTTTTCTTTTTCTTCGGTTATTGGTAATTGAGTTGTTAAATCCTCGTGATGTTTAATTGTACTAGAGGGCGATACGTCTACGTTATCTTCATCTTTAGATGGACTTGCAGTAATTTCAGGCCTTTCGGAACTAAATATTATGTCTCTCAAAGTTGTGAATTCCTTATCTGGAGATGAGGAAACTGTAGTGTGCTGTTCTTCCTCCTTAATAGTTGGTATAGAAGTTGTTATTTTTTCTTCTGGTAAAGGAGACGAATATTTTTTGTCTCCATACATGTCATCACTTACTGGTGGTACTTTTTCGGCGATTGTTGAAATTTCTACAACATCTGCACTGGTAACTGTTTCAACATCCGGACTAGTTATTTTTTCATAAGATGCTGTTATAACTTCTTGTTCGATCGGTTTTTCCGTTGAGTGTCCATATTCATCGTTGTTGTCATATGTATCAGGAACTTGATCTCCTCTTTCTGGTTGCTTTTCGCTTCTGACAGTAGTTGGTAACTCTTCAATGACAACATCAGATGAAGTATCTTCTAGGACCGAATGGGTATGCTCTTCTAATAAAACTGAATATGGTGTTGTTTCACTGTATGTGATTTCTTCTTCCGTTTGTGCTTTACTGGGTATTTTGTCTTCAGGCTCCTTTACAGTTACTACCTCTTCTGGCAATGAACTTACTTCTGAATCTCGTTCCGTGCTATAGTTTTCTACATTATCTACATTCATTGCAACAGGCATGGTTAATTTAGTAGTAACTTCAATGTTCTCTGACACTGAGGTACTTGTAGTTACATCTGCCAGAACACCTTTAGTTGAAGACTCATCTTTTGGTGAAACTTCGGGTACTTCTTCTAATGGTTTTTGTAAATCGGAGCCTTCCAAATCAGATTTTATAGTAGTATCAATAGCTATAACAGGCAAGGCAGTGGTTTTTTCCGTTTCTATAGTATCTTTTTCATAAACATTAGCTTCTGTTTTATCAGAAGGAGTGTCTTCAATATAAATTTTTGTTACGTCTTGTTTTTCAGTAGTAGAAGCTGCAGTATCCTCAAGTTTAGTCTCGGTATCAGAGCCAATTCGGGATGCTTCTGTGATTTGTTCCTGAATCACACCAGGAGTTTCTCCTAGATCAGATTTTGTTACGTATTGCTTTTCAGTTGTGAAAGCGTCGTTATCCTCAAGTTTCGTTACACTTTCAGTATCAAAGTGAGAAGTGCTGTGTTCTTCAATTATTTCAGGAGACTTAGACACATCTTCTTGATCAAATTTAATTTCGTGTGTTTTTTCAGTTGTAATAGAATCCAATTCAGTATATTCCGGTTTCGTTACGATTTCATTATCATTTAGAGGTGTACTTTGCTTTTCATTTTCTTCTACAACCTTAGGTATTTCTTGTTCCGCTGATGTGACATATTCTTTTTCAGTAGTAATTCGAACAAAGTCTTCAGATTGTGTCACAATTTCGTTTGGTGATATTGTGTGTTCATCCATTACTTCAGAATCTTTATGGTCTGTTTCAGATGCATATTGCTTCTCAGTTGTTTCACGTTCGGCTTCACCGAATTTGGTTACACTTTCCATATCACTTTGGGGTGTACTTTGTTCATTTACAAATACTGGGATCTTCTCAGTTTCTTCTTTTTCTGTCTTAGTATCGTATTGTTTCTCAGTTGTGTAAGATATGGAATCATCTTCCTTTGTTGAAGTTTCATCGCCAATCTGGGAAGTACCTTGTTCTTCATTTGGTTTTTGGATCTCATGAATTTCTTCTTGATCAGACTGCTTTTCAGTAGTGGGAAGTTCAGGATACTTTTGTTCTGTTATAGTTTCTGTATCAATGCGAGAAGTACTATGTTCTTCAATGACTTGCGGAACTGTAGGAACATCTTCCTGGTCTAACTTTGTCTCGTATTGCTTTTCGGTACTGGAAGGTTCGGTGTCAATTAATTGAGTTACACTTTCGATATCGCTTTCTGAAGTACCATGTTGTTCAGGATTTTCTGAGATTTTGGATATTTCGTCGTCATCAGATTTAGTTATGTATTGTTTTTCCGTAGTTTCGAACGTTTCAGGTACAACCAGTTTTGTTACACTCTCAGTATCTGGTCTAGAAGTGCTTTGTTCTTCTGCTATATTGGGAACTTTGGATGGATATGCTTCTTTTTCGGTAATATCAGCCGATGGTAAAGATTCCGTTGTCAGATGTTTATCTGATTCAACGTTCATTATTTCAGGGCTCTTTGTTTCTTCACTTGTGTCCTTTTCTCCTTCCTTCACATCCATTTCTGAATATGTTGGTATCATTTCTTGTTCTGTAGGAACAACTTCTGTGGTTATGCCTTTTTCTTCCGATACCACTTTTGTAGGAACTGTTTGACTTTCGTCAGTTATAGTGTACGTTTCTTTAGACGGTACATCTTGATGTATTGGCAAATCTTCTTCTTTCAAAATTACAGGTTCAGTAGTTCTCACGTTACTATCGGGTGATTCAGTGTAAGAATGTTCTTCTGTGAGCGAAGAAATAGTGTTATGTTCATCTTGGATAGAATCTTCATCCTCAAATTGTGGTTTAGTAGTTTGTTTTGGTTCCTCCGTGTTAATTCCTTCGTCTTTCTGATCTTTTTCTACTTCTGCTTTAGGTGTCACTGAAATTTCTGTCACTTCATCATATTGGCTTGTTACTTTAGATTGAGTTGAAGTCATATAATTTACAGAAGTAAGCAATTCATCATTTTCTAATTCTTTATCTTTAGTAAATGCATTTAGGGACATATCATGTTCAGTTTGAACTTCTACAGAGTTTTCTGTAGTTGGTTGAATATGTTTGTCATCCAATATATCGTCCTTAGAAATTTCAGTAGAAGATTCTTGGTCTGCCATATCCGCATTGATTATTTTTTCAGTAACTTCTTCACCTTCCGTTATTAAAGAATTTAATGTTGTTACAGACTTTTCGATATCGCTTGAATCAGATTCTGGCTTGCTGGTAGTTTTGTAAACTTCATTATCACGTAGCGATATTGTTGAATATCCCTCTAAAATGACTGAAGTCGTTTGGGAATATGGTAGTTCTGTACTATGTTCCTTTTTAGAGCCATCGAAAGCATTTTCATCTTTATTAATATCTTCATCAGGTTTCTCGCTTATACCTTCTTCGTCTCTAGATTTCTCTGTTGCATATTCTTGTGGTTCTGTATGAATTTTTTCGGTTATGACTTCAGATATTTGATTATTGTTTATTGTCGTAGGAGTGAAATCTTGCACACTTTGCTCTGTTTTTTCGGACACATGTTCATCAGAGCTAGTTATAGATGTTTCTGATTCATCTTTTTCATCCGCGTGGGAACTTGAAGTTACTTTTTCTTCATCGCTGGTAATATCATTTGGAGAGTGAGATGAAGGAACATCATAAGTATTGGTAAATGGTGGGAGTGTCGTTGTTATAGTAGCCATTGCTTCACCATCTCTATCCATGGGCTTTTCGGGTATTTGATGTTCAGGAGATTGTTCTTTCATATCATCTGTTTTTATTGGAGTGTGTGAGTCGATATCTATAGATGGATAGCTTTCTTCTGTTATTTCTTTTGGCAATGAAGTCGTTGGTTCTTCACTTTTTCCAATATCGGAATACTGTGTATTTTCAATAGTAGAAGATTCATCTGATGACGGTGATGTATGTTTTACTATGTTTTTGTCAGTTTCATAAGATTCATTATCACTTGCTTCACTCACAACAGGAACTGCAGGAGTTTCTTTTTCAACAGAAACATCTTGAGGCGTGGTGTTCAATTCTGAATATTTATCTCCACTTTCAATTTCTGAATCAGAGGTGTCATAATGGGAAGACTCTGTGACGGAAGCATCTTTAATTAGATTTGTCGTTGATTCCTTATTCGTAATTGGAGAGTCAGTTTGTAAGTCTCCAATAGGCTCCATGTCATTTTCTACAATTGCTTCGGTAGATACCTCAAGTTTTGTGTTTTCACTTTCTTCTTGTGGCTGCTTTGAGGGTATTTCATGTTTTGTTTCAGTAACCTGTTTTTCTGTTACTTCCTTGTTCAAATCTTCATTTCTATCTTCATGTTGCAATGATTCACTCTCTGTTGATGAAGGATATTCTTGATATTTAGTCTCCGAATGCTCATCTTCTGGATGTGTTACATCTGCATTCGTTGCCAAGTGTTCGGAGTCTTCTATAACTGAACTAGGAGTGCTAAATTCCTTATCTTTATCCTCTGATTCTTCTAATGAAGTGGTTTGTAATGAATCCGAATCAACTTTAGTATCCAAATTGGTTACTGTGATTTCTGGTAATTCAGTATAGGTATCATGTTTTACAGTAAACTCTTTTTCATAGACAGTACTTGATTCTATTTCAGTAGCATCTTGTTCTGTCTTGGATGGCCTTGGGGAATCTGTAGTATCAACGGCTGGAGATGAGATCTTTTCAGTTTTATCGTATTGATTATATTGCGTTGTATCATCTTCTGATCCCGCCATTGTTTTACTTACATCTCCTGTCACACTTACAGTTACAAGTGGTTCAGGTAATTCAGTAGTAATCGATTCTTGTATCAAAGTTGTTTGAGATAATATATCTACTTTTTCTTGTTTTTCTGTTGTCGGTTGTTGATATTCGATTTCCGTTGTTACTTTGACTTCAATTTCTTTAGGTGCTTCCGTTTCATGTTGTTCGATATCATCATCTTTACCTATCGGTAATTTAGTAAAGGTTTCATCTTGTTTGGTGTCCAATACTGCAGGCTGTGCAGTACTTGTTTGTGCAGCTTCTGTTGTATAATCTTGAGGTGAAACATCTTTATTTATAACTGTATCATCCTTTAACCTATTTTCAGTAACAGCTTCTATTTCTTCCATATTGGTAGGTTTCGTTTCACTTACTTTTTCTGTAGAAGATTCTTCATCTGAAATGTTTGTATTTTCGGTTGCAACAGATGTTGGTACGAAATCGATGGGAGATGGTTCTGATTTATCCGTCTTTTCCTTCAATATATCCATTTCATTTTGCATATCTACATCGGTAGGCATATTTGGTTCAATTTCCGTAACCGATTTTATTGGCACTTCTGTTGTTTCTTCGCTTGTCTTTGAACTGGATGACTCTGATGGATAAATCTTAATTGGTGGTAACTCTGTTGGTAATTCTGTAGATGATTCACTCATTATTTCCTTTTCTGATGTCAAAATATTTTGAGTAACAAGTTCACTTATAATTGTTTCAGTAGTTTTTTCATTTAATATTCCATCTGTGGATGGTGCATTTGGTAGTTCGACATCTGGTACATTTTGTTCATTCCTAATCTTACAGTCAGAACCTGAACATTCCACTGGAACTTTTGTTTCAGTCTCAGAGCTTTCTTTTCGTCTACAAGATTCTTCGTTGCACTTCTCTTCCGTCGGTGTTGTTTCACACCCATGTTCATTAGTACAAATAGGTATAATGGGAGATTCAATTGGGGTCTTTTTATTAATATCTTCTTCTGTTTTATCCGATGCCTCACAATTTTCTCCTTCACATGAAGTAATTGGTGATACAGAGCATTTTTCTCCGGAACAATCTTCAGGTAGTTGTGATGGAAGTGGTTGGTCTTGGCAACCATTAGTACCACAATCACTTTGCTTAGATCCACTCTCACAATTACCTGATACACAGATAGTTTGCGATGGTTGTTTCTCTCCATTAAAGTTGCATTCACTACCGTTACATTCATCAGCAACAGCAGGTTTTGAACTTTCCGTGACAGATGTGTGACTGTGGGATTGTGGGAGGCTCGTTTCTTTAGCATTGCAGACATAAGTGGGACAGCATGCATCAGGCGTATCGTAACTAGTTTGGCAATCATTCATATTTTCCATATATTCCGGAGGAGGACTACATATGATTGGATCGCATTTAATAATACTGCTTACACATCTGCAGCCTGAATGGCAATTATTTGTACTTGGAACTGCTGAATTATTACCGTAAGTTATTCCGTTCAACAAACAATCACCTTCTCCAGGAATTCTAGCCGGAATGTAATCAACTTCATTATCGACAGGATTAAAGGAAGTTGTTTCAGGAATTTCTTTGATGTCACTTACTGTGGTGATATCTTTTACAATATTCATTTCTTTCAATGTTGACATTTCTACATTTGGTTCATTTTGTTCAGTGACACTACTGACAAGATTGGTCGTCAGTTCAGGTTCGTTATTAATTTTGCTATCTGAAGATGTTACTGCTTCAGAAGCATCTTCTTCGGTTACAGAAATTATAACATTTTCTGTTGTAACAATATCATTAAGTGAAACACTCTCCGTAGAAATAGGTATTTGTTCAGTTTCTTTCTTTAATTCTGTAGTCTCCGTTGCTGAACTTTGTAAGGGTTCCTCCTTTAGTGTTGTTGATTCGGGAGTATAAGTTGGAGTTTCCTTTTGTTTCGAAATATCGGTGGGTACAATATCGTCAATTTCGTGAGAATGGAAAGAAGATTCAGTTGTGAATTTTTCATCTTCCTCCATAGGCGTTACATCCTGGGACGGTTCTAATTCTTCATCGACGGTTGCTTTAACATCGGTTATCGTTGATTCTGTGGATGGCGCATATGAATCCTGGTCAACAGTCACTACTGGTTCATTTTCAGAAATAGTGTCAGGTATTGTATTAAATCCTTTATCTGCTTCCGTAGTCTCGCTGAGGTTAACTTCTTTTTCAGTCGTACTCAATAATAATTCATCTCTTGGATCGGGAGAAATTTTAGATGGCATGTCTGTTTCCGATGTATCTCCACTACCTTCGACTTCATTTTCAAAAGGACCTCTTTCTGTGTATAGTTCATCGGGTTCGTTTCTATAACCACTACCTTCAACTCCAACTCTTCTTGGAGGTGCGGATGTCAAATCGGTTACTTCTGTAGTTATATCTAAACTGGGCTCATCACCTTCACATATATATGTATCTGGACAGCATTGACCATGACGGGGTGGCAGTGATGTACAATTCTTGCCTTCGTTTTCCATAGGTGTTCCACATTCTTGTACAACACATACAATATCTCCTTTCATACAGTAACAATGTTCACAAGCCTTATCGGTTTTAATGGAAGCTCCATCTGGGAATATTTGTTCATCGTGTATACAATCTTGTGTCATTTGTGTAACGGGCATCATTGTTGTGGTTGTCAAGAGGAAGCCAGGAGTTGGGCGAACTGTCGTGGTCATATCATCTAACAGAGGAATTTCGTCTTCTGTATGATCTGAAAATAATATTTTAAGAATTGGTTAGTATAGAAAGCGTTGAAGTCTTTTTGTGACTTTGCTTACATAAAACAAAAGCAGTGTATAATATTATGCTGTATACGTGTCTTAAATAAATAAATACGTACCACAGGAATATCGCACTGGACAACAGACGTCCTTATGATAAATTGGTGTGCAACCGTCGACGTGGAGTGTACATTCTTGCATAACACAAGTTGTCATATTGCGAATGCAGTAGCAGTGTTCACATGGCTTATTCGGTGATGGTGGAACTTTTGACCCTTCGGGGAAGTATTTTCCGTTTATACTGCAGCCATATTTATCTAATTTCCCCATTCCAGTTGGTCCATATTCAGCAGGAGATGAGGTCGAAGTAGAAGTGAGTAGGTCAACTGGAACTGAATAAAAGAAAATAGATATAATTTTATATGTAAAATATGGGATACTTTCTACATTAATTACATGAATAAAAAAATACTTGATTTCTAGGTATTGAAGTGCGTTTTCCTATATTTTGTGGTACTCACCATCAGGGCATGTCACGATAGGACAGCATTGGTCAGCTCGTTTCTCCACTGTACAATCCTGGCCAATTGCTTTTGTAAATGGGCACACTCTGAGGTAGCACATTAACATTCGATTGTGACACGTGCAGTTGAGACAGGGCTCGTTCGTCATTATTCGATCGCCTTCACCGTAGTGCTGAAAGTTGTAGTAACATCCTTCCGTTGGACCTAAAATATTTAAATGTATTATTATAGTTACCATTTAATAATGAAAATATTGAAATAAATTATTCATTATTATTTTATGTTACTGTATAACATTCCAATGTTTACTATGTTTCCAATGATTTTTTACTATGTTTAGATGTAAAAAAAATACATATTCAAAGTATTTTTAATGAAAAGGAAAAATATATATACCTTCGTGTATATCTAATGCAGTGTGGTCGCTAGCCGTCGGTGCTAAAAAAGAAAATAAGGTGATTATTTAAATCAGTTTCGTTTATTTCAGTGTGAGATAATGATATAGTGTAATGTTGTTATTATAAAGTTAATTATTAAGCTTATTGGTGACTAATCATATTTTTAGTGTCAATCTCAATAGTTATTGTAATTTATATGTTTAATTAGACATTATGTAATGTCTTACTTAACTCTAAATTACCAAAGAAGCAATAGAAACTATATCAAAAATATCTAACTTAGAATTGTTCAAGCCTTGTATTATCCTTTTCCTTTTTTTATTATTTTATTGTTTTTTAAATTTCATACGTTGTTGATAAAATAGTTCCATTTGTGTTATATTTTTATTTTATCAATTTCTAATTATTCGATTAAATTTTAAATAAAAGCGATGATTTAAATTGGCCATATCTCCGTTTGTACAGTTATGTATCGAGATAAGTTAATCAAAATATTTCAATTTACATAACTCACGATAAGAAACGACTCCTTGATTACTATAATTTCAACTTCATTCAATATAAAATAACATATAGTTGAATGCTAGGTTCGTTCAACAAAACGAGAAAGTAATAAATTTAGTGTGTTCTTGGAATATTTTATTGCTTGTTTTATGGGTTTACTTATTAAGCGTTACAGCTCGACAGGATATTAGCTGCAAATCGCCGAGCCTCGCGATCGGTCATCGTCATGAAAAGCCGTTTTGCATATGCGTTTAACTGCGCGTAATTACTAAGGCGGTAGATGGGCGACAAAGCTGTAATTAAAGTAACGGAGAACATCGTTAACTTCGGAGTCTCAGCTACACGTTGATTCGATTCAAGGGTGTAAGTCATAATACCGGAACTTATTGCTTGTGACCGTTTATCGTTGCAAGTCTTAGCCAATACTAATAAGATTACCGACTAGTATCTCAGTAGATTAATGATAGTTTCTATCCTATAAGCTAATCTACAATTTTTTATAATTAAAATAGGAAGTATATATGATACGACGTGGTAATTGGTAGTTATAAGCAATATTTTATGTTACAGACATAAATAACTGCATATAACTTTTTTCCCACATGTGTTGTCTGTTGGAATTTGTTGTTTGTGGGCGAAAGCCGACGTCTATGCTTTATCGTTTCGACTTAACGGTTTCCAGTAACGAAGTCCTTTTATTATAATGTTGAAACCGCTTATTACATTTTTATAATAAAATTGTACATATAAATTTTTGATTATTAATATAATGATATATTCTTAGAAGTTTTGTTTATGTACCATTGTGATTAAATAAAGCATTTGTATAGAACAATATATGTAGTATAATATGTATTATGTATACAAATGGTTTTGCACGAACCAATGACTATTTATACAAACTCGCGCGCTTAGAAACATGGTCCGAAGCAATCGAAAGAGGAGGCAGCATGAATTTAAAATTTGCACTACATTAATATGGATAGTCGTTTCAATGAATGAATGTCGCCGTGGTCGCCATTCGTGATTAAGTTCACACGGGTACACTTAAACATTGTAGGCCGCATTTAAATATACTTCCTATGTATAACGTAAATTCAGAATTCTTTGAACTATTCGTGATGGGGTTACTAACTCTATTGCACTAATATTGCATTATCCTAATTCTTTTCTTAATAACCAAGGCTACTCGTAGTACAGGTATACTGAGAGGTAATACAGTCTGTTACTGACTAAGTATTTTTTTATCGAGTATACATGTCAAATCATTTTATGGTCCAATATATTCATGGTAGGTATATAATATATGTAACAGATATTTAACTGATGTTGAATGACAGCGGGTACGCAGGCGGCGCCATATATCGCGCACGAACATCTCAAGAATAGGTAGACTCATTCTAGGTCACGAGACAACACAACGGTTCTACCTGTTTCCTCAACAATTTAATGGATTGTGAATTTCGAATCAAATAAATAAGGATAATTATCATTTGAGGCAGATTTATCCGTTATTCATATTTTATAAACAGTTTGTGGCACAAAACGACTTCAATCAGATTTATATAATGGATACTATAAAACTGTTCCGTTAGCATATAAAGGTGATAAACGTCGACGGAGATGAGCTTTTGAAATATAATTTCTGTTAGTGGACTTGAAAGCCTCTTGATATATGTATATTTTGTCGGTGTATTTCAATTCTGAAGAGATATGTATAGTAATTTTATGGTAATTAAAATTAGATGTTATAGAATATTGCAAAAATGTCTGGTGTTTTCTTTGTTATGGTAAAATTATTTTTTCTTCTTCATGATCAATCTCCTACTGAAGGTAATGTTGGAGACTCAGGTATCACTTCTTTTTTATCGATTCAATAGATTTCTTCTGTTTGTTCATTATATACATTCTATATTGTTTGTGTTTTTAGTATGTATGTATATAGTGTTTCTTATGTACCTGCTGAAGAGCACGCGACGCACGCGGCCAGCGCGAACAGCGCCGCCGCCGCGCGCCCCCGATCCATTGGCCGCCTGTCGTCTGAAACAACACAAAAAATGTTAAGTTACGGTACATTTATAAAATCTGTTAGAATAACAACTAAATATAACTTTAAACTACAAACCAAAGTTATAACTTTAAGTATAGGAAACCTATTATAGTTAATATACTATAGCAATAAAATATGAAGTATGATTCAGTGTTCACTATAAAGTAAAAATAATTCCCGAACAAAAAGTTGTCTGTAATGCCGACAATGAACGTTCGTTTTTATTATTGGAATCGGATACATATCATGCCGTCCAAAAGGTTAGATATTAAAATTTATAAAAACTACGGGTCAGTGTCGATAAATACGTTTCCCGTTATATTTATAGCTTTATATTCAAATGGAAATAGTCTCTTAGTTATGGGGCACTATGTTCAGATTATAGCTATTACGAGTCGTAATTTAAGATTAAAGAAGTTATGGCATCGATATCATTGCTCTTAAATTTTATTTCTTATATACATATTTTTATTTTGTTTTGAATGTTAGGCTTCACGAGAAATAATAATATTTGAATATTTTTACTAGCTACTAAGAGTATCATTTGATTTTATGTACCCACGTTCGCTAAAAGTAAGGAGAGTAATGTTTTTAAATAGCTTGTTTAAAGAATTCCGCGAAGTATAGGACACACTGCAAAGTGAACTTATTAAGCTCCCTTGAGAGACGAAATATAAAATGTGTTTCCAGCGAAGTTTAAGTGGGCGAAGTTTTGTTGTTTTAATAAGGGGGCTAGTAGGTACATTACACGAGGTCCTTTGGAACACTAGAAGTTGTTAAGTGTTCTTCGTTGGCAGAGTTTATGGTTAGACGTAATAAATACAAGAAGCGAGAGGTTGGGGCGAGATCGGGAGTGTGTCGCGGATCAAGTGGAGGGAATGAGAGGGCTATGAGACTGTGTGTATGTGTGTATCGCCGGATATATGCATTGATCTTTATTGCTAAAACACTTACATTACTCATATTTCACAAATAACGTGACACTTCACTTCATAAAAACAAACCAATGTTCCACAAGCGGTCTTAATGTCACTCTTTATTATATTTATATATTATGTATCGTTATGAATAATATTAAATATTTTAGACGTTTTCTACAAAACTGAAACCTTTTACTAAATATGTAAATCAATTTACTGTACACAAAGAAGAAACACAAAGCACAGATATAGTGAATAGGAATTTCATTTTTATGAAACAATCCTTTTTTAATTTGTACATAATATCTAAAGTACTTTCGATATAATAACTGAATTACAAAATCATAGAATCCCAACAACAGATAAGTATCACAAATGCATGTTCTAGACACTTGAAATGTAAGTCTCTAACAGGCTAACTTGTATTTATGGCTCATACTTCAAGAGTCAATAACTACAGGGCAAATTATTGTTACTCCTGCTCGGTAGGTATAAGCGGAGAGTTACCGTGGGAAAGTATCGGTAAGCCCAGGGTTTTGCACTCATACAAGCCTTTAGTACTTTTGTACGTAAGAGAACAGCGTTTGTACTGTTTTCTTTACATATCGTTTACGCTACGTTAAAATTTCACCTACAAACGACTGCAAGTACAAAAGGAAGCCCTCTGTTTTTACTTTTTTGCATTTTATAATGGTCTCTGTGTTGTGTACCGCTTCTTTTTCTTATTTAGCTCTGGTTCTGTCAATATGACTTTGTCGTTTTCTATTTATGAATTCTTCAGAATAAGGTACCTACTGTAAAGAAACATTTTGCTGTTAACTCGATTTAAGTGTATCTTAGATAAATAGAAAGTCACTCTGTTCCCAGTTAGGGGTCCCTCCGTCTAGACACTCTTCGCAAGTCACGGGAGGGTGAGGGCGGAGGATACAACACTATCTATTTATTTACTTTAGAAATAGCAATTTCCGGACTGTGAGATATTTTAACGGAATGGAATTTCTTAATTCACAGGTCAAAGTTGCAATTACCAACCGTGTTGTTTTGTTGAGGCAACTTAAATTTATATAAAACAAAACATTGTTTCTCTTAATTTATTTAGTAGAAAATCATTTCTAAGGTTAAATTATGATACGGTTAAAAGTGTTAAAAACGTAATGATTAAAATCAAGATAAACTTTAATTAATAACGTTTGAAAGTTAAATCAAAACTTCATAAAAATTTAAGGGACACTTAAATTTAATTTTATTAATTAATAAAATAAAAACGTTATTAATTATATAACTTCCATAATCACTTTATAACGGCGGAACATTAAATTTATCGATGATATATCAATCAAAACAAAATCTCACTAATAAAAATGTCTGAGCTCGCGTCGTATTTACACTTGACATTGAATATATAGCCTCTAAAGCTGTAATAGCGTTATTTAAATGGCATTGGCAGTAAAAGGTGATTGAATGTGATCGGAAGGGCGCTGGGCGACGGCGTGGGTCGGTGGCCTGAGCGTGTCTTGCCCAACACATAATTTCGGAACACAGAGAACATTGACACCGATTTCGTTTATGAACAACTGCTCCAATATCGTGATGGGTATGCATTATACACAATTTCTGCCTTAAATTTTTCTTCCGCATTGAATTAATGTTCTAAGATAGATCGTAGAATATATATTGAAATATTTTTAATTTATATTTATAGTAAGATAAATTAAAAATATAAAAGTTATTAGACAATATAAATAAACATAAGTAAGTAAGTATAATAAATTCTTCGTAATAAAATTTATTCAAGTTTTGATTATAGCGCATAGCTTTATAACTCCGAATACGATTCGAAGAAAGAACAATGAAAGCCTAATAAAATTGCTAAATATTTTAGATCGATTAGCGTGGTGTCGCATTATAAGGCAGCGTACGTGTTACGACGCTCTAACACACTGCTCGCGCTGTTGTTCGCACAATGCAATCACGTACGAATCTCTATTATCAGGCATCGTAAATTACAACTGATTAGCATTGGAGTCGTGGACATGGCGACTTGATATTAGATTTGAATACGCGTCCGACACTTTGTTGTTAGGTGATAATTGTAACTAACAACTTACAGGTCGATTAACGGCGAACCGCTGACAAACACGACGCTTCATATTCAATGATTGTAGCATCATTCTTTTATGTTAATATGGTAATAAATTATATAAATATTATCTTTTCATACACGTTTATATAAATAATATAGCTTTAAATTGTTAGTTGATTATTGCTTGTAAATAATATAAAAATATTATCATCTATTTAAGTACTGGCGTTTACGCCATTACAATTATCGTAATTAACATAACACATAAGCATTATAAATGATATGAGTGTTAATAATAATAATAATAACAGCGAGAAGAATCTTTTAATTAACGTAAACTTATTAGATATATTGATTACATAACCCGAACAAGCGTTTTATTGTCCTCCATTTTGTATGGGTACCATAAGGATGTAGGGCAGTCGTGTGGAAGTAAATCCACGTGACAGGGTTTTGCGTCTCAGAGGGAAATGGGAGGAAAGGAAGAAAGCAAATATTAGTTTCCCTCGCGACGTATTCTCAGTTCGTTGACCCGTGCAAAATTCTGTGTTAGAAAATACAAATAAAAACTATCCAGACTAACGTAACATAACAGTTGTTTGGTTTTTTACGAGTTTTATGCACACTTTATCTATTAAAACATCGTGCCGCTTAGTAATTTTGTACATTATTATTTTATCCGCACAAGGAAATGTAGTCGTTGCTTCACATACATATATATTATTTATATCACTTGAAATTATCATGTGAAGAATGTTTCTTGTATATTTTATGTCACTTCTTTTATCATAAGTCCAACTCGACGTCGATTTATACAAAAGGCCTTTTGTAATTTTTGTTAAAATAACACAAACGATAAAAAGTAATTTTACAATTCTTTGTATTATTTTCTTAAGAATAAATTATATTTAAAAAAGATGTTGATATTTTTATAATTGATACTCGATATTTTAAATTATTATACGATTACTATAAAGCTATATTATAAAAGAGTATATCCAAGTAGGTTGTATTTAAGTAGGTATATCTCACGGTCTATATTACTCATAGTTATACAAAATGAGTTTAGGCGATATCGTATCGTGTAGAGAGCCCGACGATCACGTATCGCCAACGTAGTCCGAATAATTTAGGTAAATCCAAGCTAGACATCTCAACACCGTTATTCGGACTTAACATTCCACTCAAATACACTTACGAATTATCTTATTTTCTTGCTATTTTGATTTATCTCTTGATCATTAAAACAAATTTACAATTCGCACTCGTTGTCCAATTCAGCTCCTCATTGAATTTTTAATCACAAACAAGTTAAATTCCATTGTGAAAATTATGTTTAAATATAAATTATATTTTGTTATGTAGTCTAAATAACACGATGTATTTGATATTTCAAACTTGACATGGTTCTAAGAAACGTATTAAAAGGATTGCATGACTTACACTTGGTATGCGGCTTACGTTAGGGAACTAAAGGTATAAATATTGGTGTGATTGTTGTTGCTAGGCTTGCAGAATTTGCGATTGTTGGCCGGTCAAATCACACGCTGAGCATTGCCCCGCAAACAGTCAGGCACTAACCACGCTTACAGCTATTTCTCTCAACATATCCAGCTTTTTAATTAACCATTGTATGCAATTAAACATATTACCGCATGCCTATATCATCATTCTGCATAACTGAATAACATATTAAGCAACATTTTCCTAGTAAAAAAAACGGTACTGCCTTTTTATATTAATTCTTTTGCTGGGAATTAATTAAGAAACTTATTATATACATTTTTTTTTTGTTTTTAATAAAAATCTGGGAAGTGTTGTCGATAAAATCGAAGTACTTTATATAAATTAGATAGTGAGCTAGTCACCCTCGCACTTTCCAACCTTCTGGGACGAGAAAGCCCTTTGATAGCTGTTATTAAATCGCCCACTGACCCTCTTTGACCCAACTCCACACCCTCACTCATCTAGTA